CCCTGGGCTGCAGGTGCAGGGGGTCACTCAGCCCCGGTCCCTGGGCTGCAGGTGCAGGGGGTCACTCAGCTGAGTTTCCAGCCTGGGGATGAAAGAGACGAGCTTGTAGCCCTTCTCATTCCTGAAGCCAAGCCCTGAACTTCCTCCTCCTGGCCTCCCCGGGCTGCTGTGAGGAGAAGATAAGCACGTTAGTGGCGTTTTCAGGTTGGGGCAGGACGTGCCGTCTCCTTCCCTGACCTGCCTTAGGTAGCTGACGGCAGTGACCCTCGGGCCAGGCCCTCCCTGGCGGCACAGCAGTGACAACGCAGCACTGTGAAGCGCTGTGGCTGCTACAGAGGGAGTTGGCTCCCCGCCAGGGAGGGGCCCCAGGGCACGGCAGACCCCTCCTGCCTCACCCTTGCTCCCTCGGCAGTGGGCTTTGTTCATCTGCTTGTCCTGCTCCCCACTCTGGGGAGGCCTCTCACCCCCCACCTCTGGCCTGCACCCCAGTTCTGTGTGCGTAAATAAATACGTCTTTAAAAACCCCACCTGGGACTGGCACTGTATCGCACACCGACCTGTAAGTGCCTGGTCAGGACGAAACACTGCCGAGCGCCTGGTCAGAATCACTTGTGCATCTTTTCTTGTTCGAGAAGTAACTGAGTTCTTCTAACCGGCACTGTGCTAAGTTAGGTGTTGGAGATAAAAGGAAGGCAACCGTAAATCCCTGCCCTTGAACTTACAAGGGCGTCGGGACAGCACTTAGTTCCTGTGAAAAACAGAAGTGGGGCGGGAGGACAGAAGCCTGGGGACCGAGCCTGACCCCAGATGACAGCTAGCCGAAGCCGGCACTGCCTCCGAGCCTTCGGGCTGCCTGGCTGCCAGCACCGCCTTGGGCCGCGCAAGTTCCAGAAAAATGCCAAGATCCCTTCTTCCTGGAGCTGACGTTTCAGCGAGGGCGGGGGAAACATGCTGAAGCCTAACAAGCCTCTAGCTCTTGCAAGTAGCTCGCTGCCAGATATGCACGGAAGATTAAAACACAGCTTATGAAAGATCAAAACAGCTCGCTTTTGCCAAGCCCTGCCTTCGTGGGCATCTGTACCCACAATTGAGGTGTGAAAAATTCGGTGCAGAGTTAACTGTTCACTGTTGGTTACTCTCTGAAAAAGCAGAAAGAACACGCGCATGTTCAGGTCGGAAATAAGCATCGGGGCGCTGTCGGTGGCAAACTCAAGTGGAAAATTAACTAACTGATTTGTTAAGCTCAGGCTGGGAGCTAACCATTTCGGAGGTCTCAGAAACCACTTTTAAACATTCTTTTTAAAATCCCAACTTGACCTTGACAAGAATTATCTGGCTCACAGGTTCCTAGGAGCTGCTTGGAGCTAACACACTCATTGGACGAGAAGCCAAGTGCTCAGATTCTTACAGCTAGTGTTTCCAAAACACCAAAAAAGGAATGAAGATTTGTCCAGCGCTTCCTTAAAATTCAGAATCAAGGACCAGGTTTGCAGCCCAGAACATTACACAGTGTCATATTTCAGTTTCTGCTGCTTCGGGACAGAATGTGATTTTGAAGAGCCAAACTTCCATTCAGAGGTTATCGACAGCTGCCATCAGGCCGTCAGAAATACTCCGCGCACCACCTGCTCCGTGCTGCCAGGCAGACGGCCCCCACGGCGCCCCCACGCCTCACGACTGTGCCGTCGCTCAGAAGATGGAAGCTGCCCCGTTACCCCAGCAGGGAGCCCGAGGCCCGGGCCAGGCCCCGAGGCTCCGTGCGTGCCAGGCCGTCCAGAGACGGGCGCGGAGCGTGGCACGCGGGCGTAGCTTCTCTGCAGCCGCTGTCTGCCGGTCCCCCTTCTTAGGAACCAGACCTCTGCGGCCCGATGTTTCTGCTTAGGTTTTCCTGTCCCCAAACTTGAAATTTCCCAGTTCTGCAAGGCCATTTCGAGAGCCTCGCTGTGCACTCACCAGTTTGCATGTAATGCCAGCGCCTGCATGGTGGGCTGTGCCCCGGCAGCTGCCCGAAAAAGACCCAAGTTTCTGTTGCGGCGACACCGGAGACGCGGAGTCGCCTTCTCCACGTCCGCTTTGGTGTTTCTCTGAGTTCCTAAGTCCCGGCACATCGCGGGCAAGACACAGTTAAGCTAGATGTACAGGTGAACGGAAGAACTCCGCTGGCTGGCCGGGCGCCGCTTCCCGGGCGCCGGCGAGTCGCCAGCGGCTCTTCCCTGCCAGCCCTCTGCGCCTGGCTGCTCGTCGCGAGTGGGCGCCTGGGCAGGACGCGGCACGGCCGCTCGGGATGTCCCGGACTCCAGTCCGTCCGCCTGGCTTCGGCCTCTGCCCGCCGCTCGTGAGCCCGCAGCCGCGTCCACGCCAGGGGACACTGGCATAGCTGTCAAGTCAGTGTTTCTGACACAGATGAAGAACTTCTCGAGGCGCAGTCAAGTCCCGGGGAGAGGCCAGTCACATAGTCATGTCAAAGGAGTCTGGCACCCAGCGTGGCCCCCACTGACCTTTCATGGAGCGGAAGGGAGAAACGCGGGGTACAACGACGGCGTCCCCCAGGGAGGGCAGAGTGGAGCCAGGACGAGTCTCTGCAAGGGTCCACGGCTCGCTGGGCCCGGGCTACCGCCTGTGACCTGTCCCGAGAGCACCTCAGCCTGAGCGGCAAGTGAGAATTGTGTGTTTTACAAAGGGGGCGCCGGATTATCACTCCCAACAGCCAGTAAAGCCAAGCAGGGGGAGGAGCCGTGTCTGGACCACCCGCGGGAGAGGCCGTCGGGAGAGGCCGTCGGGGAGTCGCGGGAGCCGCACTGGACCCTCGGCGCGTGGGTGTGAAAACCACGCTGGAGCCTGGCGGTGTGCGGGACACATGCAGGGCAGGCGCCCCAGAACACACCGGCTGAAGGGGACCCTCCCGAAGGGCTTCAAAGGGGGCGGTAAAGCCTCCCCGGCCACCGCCCAGCGGGCTCACCCGGCCCGCGAGCGGGGTGAGTGGCCCGCGGCGCC